CCAGTCAGTATCCCTGATCACTGCCCCATCAGTCATATGATGACACTGTGCTGTTGCACTGGTGACAGTATGTAAAAAAAAATTGTGGGGAAAAAACCCCCAAAACTTTATTTAATTTCTTCATTTTCCAAAATGTTTTGACAAAATATTACAACTTCAAAAAAACTCATCTTGCCTCTTTCTAAATCCCTTGGACTGTTTAGTTTCCAAAAAAAGGATCACTTGGGAGGTATTTGTACTGTCCTGGTATTTTAAGGGCCTCAAGCAATTAGATAGGCCATCAGTACATCAGGACTGATCAATTTCCAAATATACCATATTGGCAAAAGTATTGGGACACCTGCCTTTACACGCACATGACCTTTAATGGCATCCCAGTCTTAGCCCGTAGGGTTTAGTATTGAGTTGGCCCACCCTTTGCAGCTATAACAGCTTCAACTCTTCTGGGAAGGCCGTCCACAAGGTTTAGGAGGTGTGTCTATGGAAATGTTTGACCATTCTTCCAAAAGCGCATTTGTGAGGCATAATCCCCCATCCACCAACCTTTACACTTGGCACAATGCAGTCAGGCAAGTACCTTTTCTCCTAGTAGTTGCCAAACCCAGACACATCCATTAGAGTGCCAGACAGAGAAGCATGATTTGTCACTCCAGAGAACATGTCTCCACTGCTCTAGAATCCAGTGGTGGCGTGCTTTACCCCACTGCATCCGATGCTTTGCATTGCACTTGGTGATGTAAGGCTTGGCTGCAGCTGCTCGGCCATGGAAACCCATTCCATGAAGCTCTCTAAGCACTGTTGTTGTGCTAATCTGAGGGCCACACGAAGTTTGGAGGTCTTTAACTATTGACTCTGCAGACAGTTGGCGACTTCTACGCACTGTGCGCTTCAGCATGCGCTGACCCCGCTCGTCATTTTACGTGGTCTATCACTTGGTGGCTGAGTGGCTGTTGTTCCCAGTTGCTTCCACTTTGTTATAATCCCACTAACAGTTGACCGTGGAATATTTAGTAGCCAGGAAATGTCACGGATGGACTTATTGCACAGGTGGCAATCTATCACGGTACCACGCTTGGAGTCACTGGGCTCCTGAGAGCGACCCATTCTTTGACCAATGTTTGTAAAAGCAATATGCATGCCTAGGTGCTTGATTTTATACACCTGTGGCCATGGAGATTATTAGAACACCTGAATCCAATGATGTATATACCATACTATGTATACTCTTTAACTTTCATAAAAACCAAATAGTATATACTTATTGGGATTTTTTTTAACCAAAGACATGTATAAAAATACATTTTGACCTAAATGGGGGTGGGGATGGGGAGGTGGGCGTAGTCAAAGGGTAACACCTCCCATAATGGTCTCAGATAATGAAAGGACAATGGTATGTTGTGTACCTCCCTTTAACTTCATCCACCTCCTCATGCCCCTTCCCCCATAGAGGGAGACATGGCAGGAGTTTATGATCATTTTTATTTAAGAAAGTGGAAGGGGGCTGTTATGAAAACCATTACACTGAGAAAGGGGGCTAGTCCCCCAAAAGCGTCAGATAGTTCCGTCATTTGTGTGATCCCATGAAGTTGGAGCGCTATCATTCCATGTTTGGTTTGTGAGTATATTTTGGATCTTTTATTAAGAGTTCTTTGTTTTAGGCTACCATTGTTGAGCTTACTTTGAAAAAAGCAAATTAACTAGTTGCCATGATAAAACTCTTTCTTTTGTGCTAAAAGCAGATGTAAATCCCTAACTCTAATGACAACTAAATGACATTACATTTGCTAAGCATTGTGTATCATAAACAATTGCTGTGTTTTTTTTTCTTTTATTAAATACTGTTTAACCTTTTTTCATCCTTTGTTGCTAATGAGTCCTGAAGCCTGTTTGCATCTATTTGCTGTCTACATGTACACCAGCAACTGCTGCATGGCGTTTCTTGGGACAGATTTTCCAGTGGTGACAACAGTCCACTGTGGGTGAATATGGCCACTTGGTTTAGTGACAACTCATGAAAACAAATAGGAGAAAGTCATCTTGTATCTGGAGATGCCTGATTCATGGTAGGATCACCAACTCTTGATTTATTTATATGAGATTTTAGTTTAGATTTCATTGATATTATAGATTATACTTATTTATACTTTTGCATGAGCCCCTCTGTCTTTCGCAGAAGCTGCAGCTGTACAAGAACTCTCCACTTTAGTGAGTTTCAATGTTTCTTAGATACTTAGCACAAGAAATACACTGATGCGGAATTCCAGACAAAAATCTGAAAACACATGTGAACTGTGTAGCCACCAAATTATTTGTAAATCTGCTTGGTCAGTCTTGTGTTTCCCAAAGCCTGTGCTGCACTGTACAATCAGGGGGTATACATCACTATTTCTTGGTGGGGCTTTGCAGCAATCTAGGTCCTCTGCTCGTCGGACGAAGGTAATGATGCTGCTATACTATCTAATGAGCACGCTAGTGCTGGATCTGGAGAGGTGACATTTGAAGCTGCAAAGCAGAACCAATAATATGGTTGCCACCTGCCAGGTTATGCAGTGTGGTTGAAGAGAGCCAGACATTCTTTGAAAGGTCAAATAGTTTACATCTATGTATTAATAATATTTTAGCCCTGAGTGGCACTTTATTTCCCAAATAATATACATATGCGGTATATAACAATGATGAAAGTCACTTTTTGCCACTTGCTATGACGCTGCAGAAAATTGGTTATATTCTGTTCTAGACATCCACTCCTTACTACAAGCATAAAACTCTAGCCAGGTCCTGTATTTGCATATCTGATTATACAAAGCCAAATAAATGGCTACCCACCAATCTGTGTTTATCTGACAACCTTTGTTTTTTGACTGTAAATAAACTGTAATGAAATATTTGGCCTAAACCTTTTCAAACTGAACATATACTGTACATATCGTGTTCCCATTGTGTGGGATTTACTAAAACTGGAGTGTGCAAAATCTGGTGCTGCTCTGCATAAAAACCAATCAGCTTCCAGTTTTTTTGTTTTTTTTGTCAAAGCTTAAAGGAATCCTAAAGGTTAATTTTTTTTTGTAAAATAACAAACATGGTATACTTACCTGCTATGTGCTATGGTTTTGCACAGAGCAGCCTGGATCCTCCTCTTCTAGGGTCCCCCACAGGCTTTCCTGGCTCCTCCTTTCTGTCAGGTGCCCCCCATAGCAAGCAGCTTTCTATGGGTGCACCCACTGCTCCGTGTGTCCATTCACACGTGGAGCCGCGACTTGGCCCTGCCCTCTCTCTCCTCATTGACTGACTGGCTGTGAGTTACAGCAGTTGAAACCAATGGCTCCCATTTGCTGTCTCAGCCAATGAGGAGGCAGAGACCCGGGACAGCCGAGGCTGTCGTGCAGATTGCTGGATCTCGATGGGGCTCAGGTAAGTATTAAGGGGGCTTGAGGGCACTGCTGCACACAGGTTTTTTTACCTTCATGAATAGAATGCATGAAAGTAAAAAACCTTGAGCCTTTACAACCGCTTTAATTGAACAAGCTGAAGTTAGAAGCTGATTAGCTGCCATGCATGCACAGCTGCACCAGATTCTGAGTGCTCAAGTTTTAGGAAATCACCATTTTCCAAACTTTTCTGGATAATGATTATATACTATAAATTGACCTTGGTTTAATTAAACAGCTGTTCTTTCTTTCCCTGAGAATTTCTTCATATTTTCCACATCTTGCAATTCGATTTGCCATCTTTCCATAGTTACCGTCCCATTCTCAACATAATGGGGATAATTTAGAAGCTTTTGAAATTCAGACCCTATCTGTGTCTCATTTAATATGTGCCCCTCCATCACATCAGTATGCACACATACTGTATATCAAATGAGTGTTATTTATTCTTCTTAATATGTATTCCTGTATTTATGAATTTTGTTAAAAATGTCTCTTAACATGTAGTCTCTGCTTACGTTGTAAATAAATGTTTTTGTTTATTCTCATGCATTAACATCATCATGATTTTGCAAAGCTTGAAATAAATCAATCTTTAAAACATAAGCTGACCTGACATCCATGTGCTGGCTGGAGAAGTTTACAGATGCAGAAATCAGTGCACTCCTGTTGGAAGAGAATCACAGCATTTGTTTAAATATTCTGATATCAGAAAAAGCATTATTTTCACTGAAGTGGGTTGAATACATTTTTGAACTCATACTGGTTAACCACATATATTAATATACAGTATCTCCCAGAAGTGAGTACACCCCTCATATTTTTGTAAAAAGTTTATTTTATCTTTTCATGTGACAACACTGAAGAATTGACACTTTGCTACAATGTGACGTAGTCAGTGTACAGCTTGTAGAACAGTGTAAATTTGTTGTTCCCTCAAAATCACTCAACACACAGCCATTAATGTCTAAACCGCTGGCATTAAAAGTGAGTCCACCCCTAAGTGAAAATGTCCAAATTGGGCCCAAAGTGTCAATATTTTGTGTGGCCACCATTATTTTCCAGCACTGCCTTAACCCTCTTGGGCATGGAGTTCACCAGAACTTCACAGGTTGCCACTGGAGTCCTTTTCCACTCCTCCATGATGACATCACGGAGCTGGTGGATGTTAGAGACCTTACGCTCCTCCACCTTCCGTTTGAGGATGCCCCACAGGTGCTCAATAGGGTTTAGGTCTGGAGACATGCTTGGCCAGTCCATCACCTTTACCCTCAGCTTCTTTAGCAAGGCAGTGGTCATCTTGGAGGTGAGTTTAGGGTCGTTATGTTGGAATGCTGCCCTGTGGCCCAGTCTCTGAAGGGAGGGGATCATGCTCTGCTTCAGTATGTCACAGTACATGTTGGCATTCATGGTTCCCTCAATGAACTGTAGCTCCTTAGTGCCAGCAGTACTCATGCAGCCCCAGACCATGACACTCTCACCACCATGCTTGACTGTAGGCAAGACACACTTGTCTTTGTACTCCCCCCCTTGGTTTCCGCCACACGCCTGACACCATCTGAACCAAATCAGTTTATCTTGGTGTCATCAGACCCAGGGGCGGACTGACCATTTGGAAACTCAGGCACTGCCCGAGAGCCCGGGGTCAGTAGGGGGCCCCATGAGATGCCTCTGGTACCTTTTTCATAGGCTTTTTTTGAGTTTCGGCAAGGACACAGGGGCCCCATGATCCCCTATTGCCCGGGGGCCCCATGAGTTGTCAATCTGCCCCTGATCAGACCACAGCAGATGGTTCCAGTAATCCATGTCCTTAGTCTGCTTGTTTTCAGCAAACTGTTTGCAGGCTTTCTTGTAACAAAATATTTACAAAAATGTGAGGGGTATACTCACTTCTGTGAGATACTGTATAGTCAATATTTAAAGTGACATTAACGGCTTCTATAGAGAGTACTTTGACCTTCTTCCTGCCCAGGCCAATTTTCAGCTTTCAGTGCTGTTGCACTTTGAATGACAATTGCGCAGTCATGCAACACTATATCCCTATACATTTTTTTATATTTTTTTTCACAAAAAAGAGCTTTCTGTGGTATTTTCTGTGGTATTTAGTCACTGCTGTTTTTTTTTTAGGTTATAGAAGTCGCAAAAACTATGAAATAAAAATAAATACAGTATAAATATAGCTGAAAATCGATCAGTACCTGATGTACTGCTGTTTTTTGGAAAGTAGACAGTCCAAGGTAATTTGTATTATTTTTTTGTGACAATTTCTTGGAGAATTAAGAAATCAAAAAAATGTATTTTGACACAATTTTTTAAAGTCCAAGGTTTTTTTACATAATCTGTCACCAGTTTTTTAAATTTTTTTACATACTGCAGCAGTAGAGTGTCATCAAATAACTGGTGTGATCAGGGACAGTGTCTGGTGACAGTATGTAAAAAAAAATTTTTTCAATTATTAATTTTTTTTCTTTTTATTACATTTTGTTCTTTTTTTACTTTTTTTTTTTACATACAGTGATCAGAGCAATATAGTGCTACCATAATAACACTATACTACTCCAGGGAGGTGAATGAAAACTATTAATTTAGTATTTACAATTGTGAGTAGCTGAGATTGGTCATAGCTAATCACATGGTACAGATTGGCTGTGATTGGTCCTGTTTGTACTATGTGATCACTGTGACCAATCACAGAGCTCATCACAATAATACATAATGAAAAGTATGAATCAAAGCCTTTCATTGTGTACAATTGTCATGTGATCAATCACATGGTACCGGCAGCAGGACAGTACACCGATCTGTCATCGGCTGTGTCCAGTGGTCACAGTGGTGACAGATCACTCCGAAGAAGGAATTTAGAGATTTGAAGAAAGCTGAGAGAAATAGAAGGTACTTTCTGAGTTAGGAATACTGTACTTACTTAAATATACAGCAGGTATATTTTTTAACCAAAGTTAAGTGTCACTTTAATTAAAATATAATTGCACTATATGTATTTGTCGGTCTTATTATCACTGTATAGTAAATGTTATAACATTGTCTGTACAGCAACTAGACCAGCAAAAGTCTAGTCAATTTTATTTTTTAACAGCATGTACCTTTTTAAATTTTCTGCTGTAACAATGCTGCCCTGTGAGCTTTTCCCCAGAGCCTTTTCCAGCATGCTGTTCCTCTATGCAACTCATGGTTACTTGTTTTCATCAGTGAATCAGTTGCTCCGTGGTGGCTTGATCACTACAGTAACTTCCAAACTAGCTTGCTTGTGTTCAGAAGCTGGGCTTTGATACATACAGGAGTCAAGCTTGTTATTCTCCCTCTATGAACCATCCAAATATCTGTAGAAGAATACAAAACTAGGGAAGTTCTATAGCATAGTAGCATAGTACAGCATACTTTAGTTTGCTTCAAAAGAAACCTTGCTAGATAACACGGCTTCCTGCTTCCAGAAATGCTGTCCCTGTAACAATTTGAAACTTATTTAAAGGTTGTGTAAGTGCTCATCGTGTAATATTAAAACCTGTCTGAAAAATTAAATTGGCCGAAAAGCTGTCCTTGCAGAAGATGAAAGAATATACTTACCTATCCTGCTGCCTGTGCCAAATTCTGCTTTGTTAAAGTAAAAATTCTATTCAAAAAATGACATTTCCCAGACTTTCAATCTCCTGGTCTCCAGCTGTGCTTCGTGGCTCTTCCTGCAGACTGCCATGTTATTACGGTGTCCTGTAGTGATGTAAGGGTCTGCGTGAGCAACCAGTGAGTGCAGCAGAGGGCCATTTTTTTTTTTGGTTCTGTGTTTCACTTATGTATAAATCCTCATTAGTTATATGGTTTGGGTAGTTTTGTATAATATTTAACCCTTTGCTTACAAAGTCTTTTTGCATTTTGTGCACATGTGTTAATGTTCATGTTGTGAGTGCAGTCTATCGGTTGGTCATCTCTTTCCACATCCTCCTGGATTCCCTGCATGCTTTCTGGCTTCTCCTTTGCTCATTCTTTTGGTTTACATTTGATTTCTAAGGACTACATGTCCCATGGTACCTTGCTGCCTGCAAACTCTGATTCCTGTAATGACTCCGCCTCCTAAAACTTCTCTCTGCACCTCTGTATTTAAAGCGGAACTTCACCCAAAAGAGGAAGTTCTGTTTTTTTTGCACCGCCCCCCCTCCTCTTTAATTATTGGCACTTTTTGGGGGGTTGAGGGAAGTAGGTACCTGTTTTTCACAGATACCCACTCCTACTTCTGGCCAGATTGCTGAGGCGATCTGAGCGGAAGTTCATCCCCCCCCCCTCCCTCCTTCTCTCCCAGCCAGTGGGAATCCGGCTGTGAAACCACAAGAGAAGAATCGGCTCGGGTGAAGACAACACTGGATCCCTGGACAGGTAAGTGTCCTTATATTAAAAGTCAGCAGCTACAGTATTTGTAGCTTCTAACTTTTAATTTTTCTGAGGGAGACTGGAGCTCCTCTTTAACAACACAGGCTCTGTGGAATGTGTGACACAAGCAATGCCTAATCACAGGGCATGGTGAATATGTGTCAAGGAAGTAAATAAGTAAACGTGTGGGATTCTTCATAGTACAGTAAGTTTCCTAACCTCAAGATTGTATAGATTAAGATGAGTAGGCTAGAAATAATTGAAATTAAATGTGGAAATGAATATATGATGTTACATTTTGTCCATAGATACAGTGTGAGTGTACACTGTGTTTTCAGTAAAACTTTGAAACCATAGGGTGTGGTAGTATTAAACTATGTCTGCCCCACAGTTATAAACCTAGGCATTTTAGACTGAGCAGCCAATTCCTGGGGGGGGGGGGGGTGAAAAGGCATTCGCGAAGGCAGTTGGTGGCGATGGAATAGGTGATGGAATCGGTCCTCCGCACTGTAATGTACAGTTAGGTCCATATATATTTGGACACAGGCACAATTTTAGTTTTTCTCAGGTATTTACCAAAACATATTCAAGCTATAGTTATATAATGGATATGGGCTGAAAGTGCACACTCTCAGGTTTAATTTGAGGGTATGAACATCCAAATTGGAGGAATGTTTAGGAATTACAGCTCTTAGGAGTAGCCATCCGCCCTTTTTCAAGGGACCAAAAGTAATTGGACAATTGAATCAAAAGCTGTTTCATGGCCAGGCGTGGGCTACTCCATTATTTAGTAATCAATTAAGCAGGTAAAAGATCTGGAATTGATTCTAAGTGTGGTATTTGCATTTGGAATCTATTGCTGTGAACCGACATCATGCGTTCAAAGGAGCTGTCCATGCAAGTGAAAGAGGCAATTGTAAGGCTTCAAAAACAAAACAAATCCATTAGAGAGATAGCAGCAACCTTAGGAGTGGCCAAATCAACAGTTTAATACATTCTGAGCAAAGAAGAACGCACTGGTGAGCTCAGCAACTTAAAAAAAGGCATGGACATCCTCAGAAGACAACAGTGGTGGATGATCACAGGATCCTCTCTATGGTGAAGAAAAACCCATTCACAACATCCAGACAAGTGAAGTACACTCTCCAGGAGGTGGGTGTATCATTGTCAAAGTCTACAATCAAGAGAAAACTTCACAAGAGTATATACAGAGGGTTCACCACAAGGTGCAAAACATTCATAAGCCTGAAGAATAGAAAAGCCAGATTAGACTTTGCCAAAAAACATCTAAAAAAAACCAGACCAGTCCTGGAAAAGCATTCTTTGGACACATGAAACTAAGATTAATCTCTACCAGAATGACGGGAAGAAAAAAGTGTGGAGAAGGCTTGGAACAGCTCATAATCCAAAGCACACAATGTCATCTGTAAAACATGGTGGAGGCAGTGTGATGGCATGGGCATGCATGGCTTCCAGTGGCACTGGGTCATTGGTGTTTACTGATGATGTGACAGAAGACAGAAGCAGCCGGATGAATTCTGCAGTGTTTATAGATATACTGTCAGCCCAGATTCAGCCAAATGCAGCAAAGTTGATTGGACGGCGCTTCATAGTACGGATGGACAATGAACCAAAACACACTGCAAAAGCAACCCAGGAGCTTTTGAAGAATAAGAAGTGGAATATTCTGCAATGACCGAATCAATTACCTCATTTCAACTCAAATGAGCATGCATTTCACTTGCTGAAGGCAAAACTAAAGGCAGAAAGACCCACAGACAAAGAACAACTGAAGACAGCTGCAGTTAGAGCCTGGCAAAGCATCAGAAAGGAGGAAACCCAGTCTTTGGTAATGTCCATGGGTTCCAGACTTCAGACAGTCATTGCCAGTAAAGGATTCTCAACAAAAATATTAAAAATGAACATTTGATTTATGATTATATTCATTTGTCCAATTACATTTGAGTCCCCGAAAATGGAGGGACTGTGTATAAAAATGGTTGCAGTTCCTAAAATTTGTACTTGATATTTATGTTCAACCCCTTGAATTAAAGCTGAAAGTTGGCACTTCAAATTCAGTTGGATTGTTTTGTTTTGTTTTAATTTATTCTGGTGGCATACAGAGCCAAAAGTATAAAAATTGTGCCTGTGTCCAAATATATATGGACCTAACTGTAAAAGGGCACTGTGATATAAAGGGGACTGCACTGTAAAGGGGCACTGTATTGATTACAGTGCCCCTTTACAGCACAGTCCCCTTTATATCACAGTGCCCCTAGAGATATAAACACAGTGCCCCCTATACATTCAAAGAGACATCCTCATATAGCAAAGAGCCATCCCAGTCCAGCAAAGAGACATCCCCATATATTATTATTATATTATTTATATAGTAT